CCCTCTCTCTCTCTCTCTCTCTCTCTCTCTCTCTCTCTCTCTCTCTCTCTCTCTCTCTCTCTCTCTTCCCACGACGCCGCTCTCTCTGCCTCTCTCGTTTCCCTTCGATAGTAATTCGTAATCAAGTGGTATTACCGGAAACTAGAGTCAATGATCATGTTTCCACAAAGCTTCCTTTTGCAAGCAGTGGATCAGCTACTGGTCAGTGGAAATTAAAGGAGATTTTTGGATTAACGGACTTTGATCAGAGCTATGAATACATGGAGAATAACGGTTCATCATCTAAGGTAAACAATTACTTATCATTAGTGTTTGTAACAAGTAAAGATTGGTCATCTTTTTGTGTGTTTTCATCATGAAAATTTGTTTTATTTTTTTGCAGGCGGATACTAGTAGAAGAGGAGATTCAGACAGTTCTTCTATGATGAGATCTGGTGAAGAAGATGGAGATGATAGCAACAATAACTGCTTGGGAGGTGAGACATCATGGGCGGTTCCACAGATTCCTTCTCCACCAACGGCTTCTGGTCTAAACTGACCTAAACATTTTGACCACAACTCTGTGTTTGTTCCGGACATATCTTCTTCAACTCCTTGCACCGGTTCTCCTAACCAGAGGGTTGTGAAACGGCGGCGGAGACCGCTCTGAAAACTGTAACAACCATCAACTGGTTTGATAATAGATGTGGACTGTTATACTGTAGGTGTTGGTATGTGACTTGCAGTTGAATGTTTCTATTTGGAAGAAAGATATTATATTTGGTGACAGTTTGTATGGACATTACAATAAATATATACATGACATCAAAGTCTAGTAATCATCTAGTACCTCATTTGCTAGCTAAATTCTAAATATGTAAATACAATTTTTAAAAATTAGTAAAATAGAACCTCTTGATGCAAACTATATTAAGTTTCAGTTGCTGCCAGAAGCAGGAGCAGTCCAATGAGGTGGAAGACGGTCAGAAACAGGCAAACCAGTAGGAGATGGCATAGTTTTGACATTGATGTCAAGAGGAAACAATCTATCCTCAATGTCAAGCTCTCTGCAAATCTTTGCAATCTCTTCAACTAGTTGAGATTTTCGTGCCCATCTCTCTCCCATATCTTGATGATTCATTCTATGTGTTGGCCAAACTGCAATCCTCACACTGTTTAAAGACTCCATATCTTTGAATATTATCATTGGCGCTGGACACCAATGATCTTTCTTCCCTTCAATGTAACTGTCACAAAGAATACAGGTCATAAGTATCCATGTATTAGACTTGTGAAAATATGCAAAGTACCTTGTGATTCTCTGCTTGATGAGGATGATTTTCTCAGATGGAGTAGTAATGTGGATGGAGAATTCAATTCCATCTCTCATATCTGGACTCCGGTAATAGTTTCTGATGAGAGTAAACCAATAAATTGGTTTAAGAATACACGTGTTTTAGTGGAACTGCTCTTGTATTAGTGGAATACAGGTCATAAGTATCCATGTATTAGACTTGTGAAAATATGCAAAGTACCTTCTGATTCTTTGCCTTTGAATTTTTTTTTTTAAAATAAAAATTGAATTTTAAATATGGAATCCAAATATTTTCTAATATATTCTTGCTATATTTTCGGATCTAGTAATATTTATCCGTAGAATTCAGATTCTACTAAAGGTAGAACTGTGTAAAAAGATATGAAATCAGTTTCTACATGTAACAGAACGTTGTGAGAATGTAGATTTCGATTTCTACTAGTTTTATATTTAAGTAAAAGTTTAGATTTTAATTTCTACTTTTATTAGAACTCTATGATAAGCGTGAAATGTATATTCCAAACTATTTTAGATTCGTGTTATCTCCATAGAATACATATTCTGCATTTCGTAGAAATAGTGAAAAAAGTGGATTTCGTATTCTAATTCGTAGTATAAACCCCTATTGAAGACTTAAGCTATGAACCTGAATCATTATCAAAGGCCAAATCCTATCAAATATACATGTCAGTCATCTATCATCTGACGTGTCCTTTATAGAACAACCAAGCAAACGGGCCAGCCGAAAGAGAACCAAATCCGACAACATTTAGTTTAGAGTTTTCTTAAATCTTAAGTCTTATGTAAAATCTTGGGTGTAATCTAAATATTTTTGGAAACATATATAATACTTTGGAAAGTGAATAAGAGATAAGCTTAAAAAAAGGTTGAGAGTAAGGAATAGATTTCAGTCATTAGATCAATTCGATCATCACTTGTCTATTTTGAGGAGATGCCATGTATATAAAGAGGGGCATGCATGGCCACATTTTGTATCATGCCGAATGTGTAATTGTTGACTTTTATTCTTTAGAATAAATACAGAGATTTTCTTTCCAAAACAAAAACAAAAAAAACAAACTCTTTGGTCCTAAGAAAAAAAGACACCAACTCTTCGGAATCTGTCTCTGCCATGGACGTCTCGGTTCAAACCTTTTATCCACCTGTAACGCAAAGCTCATTGCCTCTTCCTGAAGAACTCGTTTTGGAGATATTCTTGAGGTTGCCGTCAAAAGCGATAGCGAGATGTCGTTGCTTATCCAAGCTCTGGTCGTCTATGCTTCGCAGTCAATATTTCACAGAGTTGTTTTTGACCAAATCTTGTGCTCGTCCTCAGATTCTATTCACCTTGCAAGATAACAGTGATGTTGTCTTTTTCTCGTCGCCTCAGCCTGATAATCCAAAAGAGAACTCGTATGTTGTAGCCGCCAATCAACTAGCACGTTTCCCAAGGTCATATGGATTCTCTGCTCTTACCAGTGGATTCTTCTGTTATGTAACCCTAGAACGGATCGGGATGGAAGAATCGGAGTTTGTCCCAGTGATATGTAACCCCAGCACGGGGCAGTCCTTGAGCTTGCCTACATTGAAGACTAGGAGTAGGAATAGAGTAGAAAGCTATCTTGGATATGACCCCATTGCAAAAGAGTTCAAGGTATTGTCAGTGGAACTCTCTGATGTGAGTGGTGAGTGGATCTCTGCGAACCACCAAGTTCTGACATTAGGAACCAAGAAACTGTCATGGAGGGTGGTCGAGTGTTGTGGCGTACCACATTATTCTTTTCGTATGCGTATATGTATCAGTGGTGTTCTTTACTACGCAGCTTCAGCCTACAGATCTTCCTTCAGCTCTATGGTCGTTTGTTTTGATTTGAGGTCTGAGAAGTTCAGCTTTGTTGAGTTCATGGAAACTTTCAGTGAAGGAATGCATCAGTCAACTACAATGGTAAACTACAATGGCAAATTGGGTTTGCTTATGTCGAGGGATTGTCTTTTTGTTACAAGTGTAACTACAAGTTTTGAGCTTTGGGTTCTACAAGACGCTGAATGGTCCAAGCATATATACATATTACCTCCTTCGTGGGAGGATGTAGTTTCAGAGGACATGCGCATTTCTGGAATGGTTGGCACAAATGAAATCGTCTTGTCACCATACCAAAACGTGCTTTCCTATGTCATCTACTACAATGTCGAGAGCAAGACGATCAGAAAATTTTGGATCCAAGGGATGGAAGCGTTTCAGGGTAAAAACTTCTACACCATTCTCAACTATGTTGAGAATGTGAAGCTTCTTTAAGCATTTTAATAGAGACAAGTGTAGTTTTCATTTTGTGTGTTGCTTTTTTTTTTTTTTTTTTCTATTGTCTTAGTTTGAAGCTTCTGTTAGCAGAAAATCTTCTTATTATAAACTCTTTAAGATTATCCAAAACAGATAAGTTTAAAATGTGATCTTCAATGATGTGAGAGGCAGAGGAGTTATTAGTTCATGAAATGAGCAGAATGTTGCTATTTTTTCTTAAAATATCCCCGCCAGAAAATGATGTTTGTGGAGGCTGCAGCAGATGCTTACTACCCAGCAGAGTTAGATAGAAAGATGCTAGAGTTGAAGAAGCCACCCATAGTTATTTGAAATGGTCTGTAGACTCTGTATGGACTAGGAAAATGCTGAAATGCATTTCTATTTTTTACTCTCTTCCAACAAATAGTATGGTTTATATTCTTTTGGTTATAGCATTGTGGCACTTGCCGGCAAGAAGAACACCACAAAGGCCAATACAAAAATTTATCCGAATAACTACCATATCAAATTGATTTTTTCTTGAGTTCACCAACCAATAGGAATGTGTTATTTCATATTTGATATCTTTTAAATAAGGAAATAAAATCTTGCTAAATTATATTATTTTTTAAATAAAAAAATAAACAAAAATAAAATATTAAAAAACGAAAAATATTCTTTTAAAGTATATACTTTAATAGTATATTATCTTTTTAAAAAAAAATAATAATAATTTTCGTGTTAAAATAGTTTTAGTGTTTTTAAGATTTATCCAAAGGGTTTATGGTTTACCCAAGGGTTTAGGGTTTAGGGTTTAGGATTAGGGTTTAGGATTAGGATTTAGGGTTTAGTGTTTTAGTTTTAACATATTTTTTTAAAAAGAATTGTAATTTTAGTGTTTTTAAGATTTATCCAAAGGGTTTATGGTTTACCCAAGGGTTTAGGGTTTAGGGTTTAGGATTAGGGTTTAGGGTTTAGGGTTAGGATTTAAGGTTTAGTGTTTTAGTTTTAAAATATTTTTTTTAAAGAATTGTTTTTCGTTTTTGTAAATATTTTTATTTTTATTTCATTATTGTATTTTTATTTAAAAAACATAATATAACTTAACAAGATTTTATTTCTTTTTTTAAAAAATATCAAATATAAAATAATAGGATCTTATTGGTTGGTGAACCTAGAAGTTCATCCTAGGGGGTGAACCCAAGAATAACTCTATGAAATTTTGATTTCTTAATTTCCTTCAGTTAATATCGCATTACGTTTATACATCTAATAATGTTTTCTGAAAATAATATATACATGAGAGAATAAATAATAGTTTCTAAAGATGATATGTACATGATAACCATTGCTAAAATCACAAAATAATTTTATCGGCTAATATATGGTTTTGATTTATTCACCACGTGAATTATCTAAAGCCAAACATGCAAAAAAATCTATATAAATAACCAAAAATTCAGGGTAGTAAAAAGTTTAAGGACATTATGAAAAAATATCAGTTAAATAATTTAGATAAATGAAAACACACACCACATATTAATAATTGATGTGGTTTGTAAGTAAAGTCTAAATGATTATTGATATTTTATATCATTAGTCTATAAGATACACAAATAATAAAAACTATTAACTCCTAATTTTATTTTATTTTAGTTATCTATTTAATATGCAAAAGAAATTTTTAAAAAAATTCTAAAACATATTATTTTGAAACATTTTAAAATAATTTATCCGTCTTTGTAATTGATATATCTTTTTACAGGTTTGTTGATAAAAAGGTAACTTTAATTTGTTTTTGATATCTAAAATTACTTTAAACTTAAAATCAAATTATATATACATATTTTTAAATCTCCTTATTATTAATAAATTCATTTAAAAGAATAATGTACCAGATTTTACAGTAAATACTGAATTTATAGATTTGTTAACCGAAAATCTTAAATATGTTTGTTATCTAAAATCAGTTTTACTTTTCACTTTAAGTTATATCATATATAATTTTTATCTTATTACCTACACAATGCATAAGTATTAAAATAACTTACCACTAATTTTAATTATTATTATCTATAAAATATGCAAGGGAAAATTTCAAAAATCTCTCTTTTAAAAATATTTATTTTATTAATTTCACAAGAGTATTTAAGAAAAAAATACGAACATTGATAACACAATTTCTGTAAAAAATATTTTTCATAACCATTATTGGTAAGTATGATTTGTTTGGTTAATTATGTAAGCTAGTTCTTGATTTTGCTTTTTAACTGAATTAATTTAATCAAAATTAAAAAACCACCAACCAATCAAATTAAAATAATTAATTGGAAAGCTTTCATATGAGCGATATGTTAGCAATTAGTTATATGATTTGAAAAATAATTAATTGGAAAACTCTCCTATGATTTGTTTGGTTATTGATATATAATTTAGTTCTTGGTTCAGATTTTTAAACTGAATTTAAGTAAATCAAAACTAACAAATCATCAACCAATCAAATTAAAATAAATAATTGCAAAATTCTGTTATAAATGGCACGTCAGTAACTTCTCAATTAATATGTTGAAGAATATAAACTAAAATATTTTAGATATTAATTTAAAATATTTTGGAAAAATTTATAATAGCTAAGAAAGTAAATAAGAAATAAGCTTAAATCTTAAGTCTAAAGTCTTATGTAAAATCTCGGGTGTAATCTAAATATTTTTGGAAACATATATAATACTTTGGAAAGTGAATAAGAGATAAGCTTAAAAAAAGTTGAGAATAAGAAATAGATTTCAGTCATTAGATC